GGGCTTTCGTAAAAAGTCGAAAGAATCGCTCGCGCGTAATAAACGGACGGCACGACGGCGCGAGACGATTTGCGACGTTGGCGTCCGCGGCGGCCGTCCGGAGGGGCGCGCGCGCCCGACGCGGCCGTCGACCAATCGCGAGCCGGCGTCGACTCCGCCTCCCGTCCGCTACGCCGCGGCGGCAGAGGGATCTCTCGGACTTTCGCGCCCAAGTCGATATTACTATTGTTATTAGCGCTGCTATGAATCGCGTAGAGTGAATTATGTCCGTAACCTTCTGTAAAAGATCTTAAATATTTTTTAATTACTTCGTATATCCATAACAATGTAGTGTAACACAATATTAATTTCCAAGTTACTACCTACCTTATTATAATATTCTTATAAGCCTATTTCTACCTTACCCTAAAACAATTAAATAAATAAATAGTATTCTATAGACGAAATATTTTTCCATTTTAATCCATTTAATGTAAAAAATTTTTTTTTGTTTTTTTTTTTTTTTTTGGTACTTCGGACCCCGGGAAGGTAAGAGCTCTTAAGCAGCTGCCTAGGCGGAATTTCGACACTAACCATCGCTTTACCAGTGCTAGAAGAACAAGACAACAGTTGCACCTTAATCTAGTTCAGGAAGAATTTCTTTTTTGTTATTTATTCATTTTACGAAAATTACGTTCACGTTTATTAGACGACGAAGGAGTCAATAGTGGTGACATTGTAGATACCAACAAGATATTTACATCGTAGAAAATAAAACTCTTCTGGACGAAAAAAAACGCTTAGTTCAAGATGTTTGAACGTCAGAATCGAAAATAACAACTCTTAATATTTTATTCATACGGTCAGATAAAAACATCCCGTGTCGATATTATTTAAAAACGAATTTCAATTTCTATAATCAAATTACTAATTAATATCGATAGTGATAAAATTGGTGTACCGGACGCTCGTGTACGACCGCTACGATAAAATATATTACCTCAGGAGTGAATTGGGCTAAAATATTACATATATATATATATATATATATATATATATACATTTTCAAATATAATTTTAATAATTAATTTGTTGTATATTACTGTTATTTTAACACGTTCATGACCGCATGCAAATAAGGTATCCTTATAAAAAACCAAAAATAAATTTTTGGCTTGATTTTACAATTTTGTAAATTAAATAAAACGCGATCTAGTGGAGCTATTCAAAAACCAATGATACCGAATGATAAAGAAAAATGTGTTGAATAAAAACGTAGAATAGTTTTATGGGAAAATGAATTATTACTTTCAATATTATTTGTTAATATAATATCTTTAACGATTATATTGGTTATAGGAGCGTAACAATACGCACTTATGCATAAATATTATTGATTGCATTATTGCATTTAAACTCGTTTTCTTCAGTATGGTATATATACGAGATAGTATACTTTCTCATAAAAAGTTGCGGCTAACCGCAATCAAACCACATACATTTGAATGCATTCATTCGAGGTATAATACATATTGATCATTTTTTTTTTTCTGGAAGGGACGATTTTTAGTGTATTTTTTATTTTAATACCAGCGAAAATGACAAATATAAATTTTGAACTGTAAATAAACAATAAATATAGCTAAAACCTGAAGAAAATAATGATGTATTATTGTACTTGAAAATGTTCGTAATATATTTTATTTTTATTTTTTAACAATTATACGTACTTTCCACTCCTTTTTTAGTGTGTCTTGTATACGATACATGTACACGAGCACCGTTGGTTTGAAGTTTTACACGTGATTCATGTTGAATACAGAACACAAGTACATTAAATAAAAAGTTTTGTGATTTACGACACCAACGCTTGTATGATGGATAGTTTTGGCTGATACGAATGCAAATCTGAAGTCACTTACTTACCCAACCCGTTCATTTTTAGTCATCTGACACGGGCACTACTAGAAAAAAAAATTGTGTTAATCGATTTACGACTCGGACTCCTGTTCATAAAACGGAAGCAACTTATACGGCACCGTCTGCACGTTCTGTCGTCATGTTTGCCTATAGCACAGCTCCTGCACGGTCGTTAATTTAAAAAAGTACATTTCAAGTAGTTTTAGTTTTAACTATCGTACAACTATTGATTATTACAATTGGTATTATAGTCGTTGAACATTTGATATGATTAAGAAAAACAGAAACAGTGTCGAAACACGTGAAACGACGAAAGGAAAAAAATCAATCATTACGATACGATATTAATCGCGGGTAAATGTTAATTATTAATACTAGTGCACGTATAATGGGTAATTTCAGGTTGATACGAATGCAACACCTGCAGTGACTTGTACCGGTCACTTTTAGTCGTGGATACGTGCACGGACGATAGTTTAGTTTAGATAAGTTTAGTTGATTCGATTACGGCTCGACTCCTGTTCGTAAAACGGAAGCAACTAATACGGCACCATCCGCACGTTCTGTTATCACGTTTGCCTATAGCACAGTTCCTGCACGACCGTTAATAATTAAATTATTTAAAAACTAAATTTTAACAAAGGTGGGCCATTTAATGAAAATAATTAACTTGAGTCAAGTTGAGTTAAGAGAACACAGATTAATCTACTTTTTTAATTAGTATGTAGGTATATCACGTAAAAAGTGACAGCGTTCTTTAGAAAGATCTAATTTCCTAGATTATATTGAAGAATTTCATTGAATTTTTTATCATTATTTACAGCAGTGGCGCCGAAGTGTTTAAAAATACATTGACATTGTACATCACATTCACTACTGTATTTATTTATATTTATCAGGGATGGAAAACGTTTTTTAAAAAAAGTTATTAAAAGAATAAAATGAAAAACGAAAACGAAAAAAATATTAAAACGAAAATGAAAATAAATTATAGTATTATGATATTATTATTTATTACGAAAAAAAAATATATCTGTTATCAAAAAGTTGATAATTCTAATAACTAAAAGTAATTGTTGACAAATAATATATATTAATAGCCTAGCACAATAATTAATTATAGTCCACATGGCACATACACATTGCAGCGGTAACGGTAAAATTATATTATCTTTCACGACGACGGTCATGGTTCATAGTGTAATCTATAAAATAGTTGCCGCTTCAATTATTATAATATGATTATATTATTGTATATTGTATTGATTTTAGCAGTTGATTAGGAATTGACTTTGTTTTATAATTTATTATACCTACTCATTATCCTATTGGCTATTATAATTAATAGTAACAATAACATGGTTTTATAGTTTTTACTTTATCAGTGATTGTATTTTACATATTTTATTAAATTATTAAATTATTTAATATTCATTATTCTGATATCCATACGATATTTAAAATCAAGAATGAACAAGTCTATGTTCGTTTGGCATATAATTCAATGATTAATTAATTTAGAAACATTTGAATTAGTTACTAACATATAGTTCAATATTTATTAATTACAAACATTAAGATTTAAAGTTTAAAGCATCCTGATTTGTCAGTTTATGATAATTTATAACACTGTATTCATTATTCAGTATTCTGTAAAGGTACCACGTTATATAATATATTATTTCATTATTATTTAATTTACTTGTAATTTATTTTTGATTATTAACTAATATTAAGTATTAAGTATTAAGATTTATAATTAATATAATATAATTTATAAATATTATACTATTAGGTAATAAAACAATTTAGAAAAATAACGTTTTTAAAAACGTTATTTAGAAACACTATTTAAGAATAACGTTTCTAAAAACGTTAATCAAAAACGTTTAAAAACGATAAACAAAAACGATATTTTTTAAATCAATTAACAAAAACGAAAACAAAAAAATTAAAAACTTTTTTCATCCCCGATATTTATAGTTAAAATTGTTTATTCATAACATTCTGTATCCACAGCCAGAACCCAATACCCAAAGGTGGGCCCCAACCTATAAAATCTAATATGACATCAGATGTACAGTGTATGCGACCATTTTACTTTACATGATTATTTTATTTTTATATTAATATTTATTTACGTATAAACGAAACATTACAAAATGTTTTAACTTGATAGATCAACTATGAAAAGATAAGTTATTTCAAATGCCAATTAAACTAATTAAGTTAAAAAGTATATTAGAAAATAAAGTAACTAGTTAAGAAGTTTAAAAAAAATTAACTTTACATTATTGTATATATAACATATGTTACTGGCAATATGGATAATTCAGGTATTTTGCAAAATGCCTAAGAATTATGCAAATTGTCAACCCATTCTAGGCAATGTAAATAAAACATGATTTTCAATATTATTTTAAATATAACCTAGGTATTTTATAAAATACCTAGGCATTATGCAAAATGTTAATTTTTTTTAAGCAAAGTACAGAACATTTTATTATATGTTATACTATATTAAGATTTTTATAATTATTATACATTATTACTAATATTACATAAAACATTTTTATTTTAAGCTCAATTTTTTTTCTATAATCAATAATATAAATGTATGGGAAAGTTTGTGTTAAGTATTCAAGAATTTTTTGCGAAAGACAATTATTCTATCGACATTTTCGAAAAAACTGAGAAAACATGAAAATTTCAGTAATCTGTAATTAGCACAAAAAAAAACTTTTAGCATCAGAACGTCTAGACGTTTAAATGGATTCAGTCGTCCACATAGCCGTGGACATTTGCTTGCCTTTACG